AGGATAAAATTGGCAGCTTTGTCTGGCAGATTATAGCTCTAGTTATATCACAAATTGAAATATAATAAAATCATTTATTAATGATTAATCATTTAATCATTAATCATTTAAAGTACAATTATTTTCTGAATAAACTTTAATATTTAATATTATATATAAAAATCACTTACATAAGCAATCCACATATGTATGTATGTATGTATGTGTGTGTGTGTATGTTTGTTTTCTTAAGTTTTTGTGGGTATCTATATGTATGGTATTCAGCTTTGTTGGGGTATTTTCCCATGTCATTATAGTTGTGCTTTTAAAGCTGTAGCAACGTTTCAGACACTATACAGAAGCCTGATGATATATTACTTAGAACTTAATATTTTGCTTTTTACCTGGTGATAGAAAAGAAAGGTTGATGCTCTAAAGGGTACTATGCACAATGTTAGGGAGATGTGTGTGTTAGTATGTTAAAGATGGAAACTTAAATCAGTCCACAAAAACGTAAAAGTTTAACTGCTAACATTTTAGCAGCTGTTATTCAATACAACATTTACTGTTTTGTCCAGATAAAAAGACAACACACTTTTATTTCTCTGAATACCACAAACTGGTATACCAGTTGGAAAACACCTATTTAACCATTTTAATGGATAAAATATGTGACAAGAATCAAATAGACGATTTACCTTGAAGATATAGCATGACACATCTGGTAATGAATAATGTGGTTTACCAAAAGACTGCTAAGAAGTAAGCATGATATTATCAATAACTTTCACAGCTGCAATTAATTTTCAGTTGGTTTTATCTGTTCCCCCAGCTAGCATACAATTTCACCTTGCCTTGCACTTTACTGTAATTTAGTTGAATCCACATATGAAAAAGACCAATCACTGTCCAAGAAAGAATATAACTTAGCAACTTTATTATTTTCCTTAACCAGAGAAAATGCAGAATATTTAAATATTTACAATCATCAATAAGCTTTCAAAAGAGAGGGAGAGAGAGAGAGGGAAAGAGACCATACTGTATTTTCAAGAAGTAGCTTTTATTCATCATAATGTAATTACAGCTGTGAGTTCTAGTCCTGCCTTAGAGATGAAAGCCGGCTAAGTAACTTTGGGCCAGTCCCCACAATCCCCTCAGCCTTTTCTCAGTCCAATCCACCTCAGAGAATTGATGTGGGAAAAATAGTAGGATGGAGAATAAATAAAGCAGGAAACAAATAAATAAATAAAACAATTATAGTTCCATACTGAATTATTCTTGGTGGCTATGATTGAAGGTTACTTTTTCAAAAGGACTCTCTAAGACTCAGTTCAATACTGAACAGAAATACTTGCGAATGTATTTCTAGTGAATCCTAATGCAGAAAATGTACTGAACTCTAAAATACTCATTTAACCCCAAAGTCCAACCTGTCTTTAAGGAATGCTTATAAAGCAGATAGTAACCTTAGGCTACTTTACTTTGTAGCAAGACATCAATGGCATGTAGAAATGTATTCCTTTGATCATGTTGCTGCTTCAAAAAAAATCCAGAATATGTCACCTTTGTATGAAAATTTACACCAAGAAAAATGCTACAAAACTGGATTCCACTTATGTCTATATTCCCTCATTAAAATGAAATCCTTTGATATTTTCAAAAATAAATAAAGCCTTGTTAGGCAGATACCACTTAATTCCAACTTATCTGTTTTATTAAAGCATACAAAATTACTTAAAAGGTAGAAAGCGACTATCACAAATGATCGTGCAAACCCAAGAGATGTTGGGGATTTCCCAGATGTTAATTTCTCCCCCTTTTCTCTCCGGCAGCCTAAAAACTAGAATTTTAGAGACGTTTTAAAAGCTCTCGAGTGAAATATTACAAAATTACATTACAGTTACGGCTGCTACGTTTTTTGTTTTCTGTTAGTGAGACAGCATTCCATTCTAAAACCACTAACCCTTAATAAGTTTGGAAGAAACACAGCTATTTCCTAACCACTTAAAGAACAAGAGGGTGTGACTGTCTGTGGGGAAGGATGACTGAATTTTGAAGTTCAATCATTAGTTCTATTAAGATACGAAGCAGACAGTCTAAGAATGGCACAAGATGTAAATGAACATAGGAATAAAATAGCTTAATTTGACAGCAGTTTGACAACTGTAAAAAGAAAACTGACTTCAGACAATTGTCTAGAAATGAAATTATTAAACCAAAGAAATTCCCATGGAAATATATAATATCTACTAATTTTCACATGAAAATAGATAAATGTAGACTGGAGTTTTTATTGTCTTTGAAGTTGGTAAGGTTAAAGTAATTAAGAAACACCAAGAGCTGCAAAGTGCTGTGTTTTATTTTTTGAGATTATAGCATTTTGGAAAATAGAACCCCATTTCTGACAGATAGCAAATAACTGTAAAAAATAATCATTTGTGACTTGTAATAGTAAATTGCAGGTTTTTAGGAAATGCTTATAAGAATAGAAATAAGGCAACAAGAACCAACTATTTAGCCTATCACTTCTAAAGTTTTAAGTAGATAATAGTTTTAAAAAAGGCCGTGAAGGCTTGGATGGTGGACAACAGACTTGGCAAGACCGAATGGCTTTGTCTGCACAGAGTTTCAAGATCTGGGAGTTTAACTAACTTAGTTCTGGATGGAGTTGTGCTACTCCAGACAAACCTGGTCTGCAACTTGGGGGTTCTCTTGGACTCCCAAGAACAGGTGTCAGTTGCAGCTAGGAGAACCTTTGCACAACTTTGCCTTATGTGCTGGTTGCAGTCTTTCCTGAACTGGGAGTCCCTGTGCTCAATCATTCAAGCTTTGGTCATCTCATGCCTATTGCAATGCACTCTATGTGGGGCTACTCTGAAAGGGCATTTGGAAACTTCAACTGGGGCAGAGTGAGTTCTTGTGGTCCCTAGGGCGACCCATGCTACATCACTGCTGCACAAGCTGCACTGGCTACTGATTTCCTTCTAGGTGCAATTCAAGGTGCTAGTTATTACCTTTAAAGCATGGCATACCACGTTACTTCAGGAAGCTAATCATCCCATTGACATTCACTTCCCCTACCCACTCCAGCTGTTTATGGCTGTTTGCAGTACTTCTTGGTCACATGATCACTATTTATGATTGTGGGTTTGTTTGTTTTTTGCTGAAAATCAGTGTTTATTTCCCATTTCCAGCAAAGGTGCCAATTGTGGATGAAGGTAACAACCACAGCAAAGTGGTTAATGACATAAGAGATCACTGCAAAAAAAAAGTTGTATAATTGGGTGGTCATATGAGTGTCTTGATTTATGACCATCATGACATACGATAGAAATTCTGGGTCCAATTACTGTTGTAAGTCGAGGACTACCTGTATTATAAAACCAATTAAAACAATTTAATTTGGAAGTTTGGCTCATGATTCATGATTTAAATGGACGTAACTGCCGGAATCCTGACATAACTTGTGAGAGGATCACAATCGGGAAGTTTATGATTCAGCCGCCAAAGGGGCTCCCTGCTGTCAGGATATCCCCAGTTCTGAAGAAAATACATATTTTAAGAGAATTCTGAAAGGCTATAGGAATTGGGGTTAACCTCACCTCAGGGCTGATGATGTTCAAACAGGTAGGTGCTATGGCAGAAATGGCTCATCTCCTAGGTTCCATCAGATGGAATTCTTTAGCAGGAAGGACTTACAGCATGTTTACAGTTTGATTTAAACACTAAAATGTCATCCATCATTCACTGAGTAGGGGGAGTGAATTTCAAAGCTGTGGGATTTGACTTTAGCTTTGAATTTGCTATTGGAATAAAAGGAATAGCCAAAAGTGCCAAGAACAAACATCCTTTATTGGCTGTATCTGTTAATAATGTAGAGAAGTGAGTACAACACCGCAGTGCCAAAAAAGTCAGAATTAAACTTTATAAAGACATAGCTCTAAATAATAGGCTGTGCAGGAATCTGTAGTGCATAGAAAAAGAAAAGAAAAGAGGAAGATTTAAAATAACTCAGACTACAATATTGGGAAATAGTAAAAGTAGAAAATGGAAAAACTGTACGTAAAGGATCACAATAATAAAGGATAATATTTGTAGATCAGGGTTGATATGACAGGTCCTTGGTGGTCTCTGAGCTTGCTTATTTTCTTGCAGATGTTTCATTACCCAAACTAAGCATCATCATCAGTGCCAGTACTACCACTGATAACATTACCTAATTTCTCTGCAAGAAAACAAGCAATCTCAGAGAGCACCAAGGACCCCCTCATATCACAATAATCACATGAAGCAATCAATAAAACTTTGTTAAATCAAATATTAAGGGTCCAGCAAATATGGTAAGATTAAAATGGCAGTAAGTAAACATAAAGACTGAAGGAGCCATGTGTTATCCACCTACATGCACAATTTACAGGCAACCAAGATAGTAGCAATTTCATGGTCCTGGAGCAGACAAGAAAATCATTAAAGAGGTAAGGGAAGAGCCAGGACAATCTGTGTGAAACACTAAACACTAAATTGTATACTTCTCCCTTGTGCTCTGTTTATTAGGGCTTTACTAACAATTCAGAGGAGACACCTGGAGGCCTTTTCTCAGTCTTTTGAACATATGTGCTTCACTACAGCATAAATCCCAGGAGAAATGCCTTCTGGTGATAGACTTTGATTGATTATGTGGTATCAAGTCAATGTCTACTCTTTTTTAAAAAATAAACTTTATTAAGATTAAAAAGAAAAATATGTACAATACATAGAATACAACCTTTCATTACAAACGAAATCAACATACAATTACATAACAAATAAACATAAAAATAAAATGTATACATTTCTAACCAACTAAGATGGTGTGATGTTTTACTGAAAACAATTTTACTAATATTCAGTTCATTTTTGGTAAACACACTTAATCTAACCACTTCATTTTTCAAATTTTTATCTTTTAATTCCCTAGTTTTATCTTTAATCCACTTATACCATTTTTCACAAGCTGTACTATGTCTTGAATCTTCCTTAAGTTTTTGTGTAAGTAGGTCCATTTCAGTGCAGTCAAGAACTTTCTGAATAATCAAATTATATGTTGGCATTTGGTCACCCTTCCAGCATTGTGCCAACGCAATTCTTGCTGCCGTAATTATATGGAGAATTAAATATTTTGGTTTTTTTGCGTAGTCCCCTTTTAACATTCCCAACAAAAATATTTCGGCCTTAAGTTCTAGTTGGATATTTGTAATTTCTTTTATCCAAATTCTAATTTTTTTCCAGTATTTTTTACTTTTTGGGCAAAGCCACCAAATGTGGAAGAAGGTACCTCTTGCTTGCTTACATTTCCAGCAAGTCGGACTTAAGTTTGGGTACACATTAGCTAATCTTGAGGGTGCCAGGTACCACCGGTAACACATTTTATATTGATTTTCTTTATAGACAGGCGATTTTGTTATTTTGTTTCAAAACTTTTTTCCAGTCTTCCAGATTAATGTTGTGCCCTACATTCCTTGCCCATGCAATCATTGGGCCTTTAACTAATTCTTCCACCATTTCAAATTCTGATGGATAATTATACATTTTAGAAATTAATTTTTCATCCGTTCCCTCTAATATTTTATCTAATTGGTTCGGTTTTCCCTCAATTCCAAATTCTTCTATGTCTTTTTTGTACCTCGTCTTAAGTTGCATATAAGACCACCACTCTATTTTCATCCCTTGCTCTCTAAGTTCTTGGTTTGTCTTTAATCCTCCTTGAGAATTTAAGACATTGTAATATCTTTCTTCTTGTTTCTAAAGCATTGGGGTGGATCACTGCCTCCATGACGGATACCCACCCTGGAATCTTCATATAATGTTTATGTTTAATCTCTTTCCACACTTTCAATAGTGAGCTTCTGATTACGTGCCTATTAAAGTGTGTATAACTCTTATTTCCAGGGTTCCACATGAAGGCATGCCACCCCGCCTCCAGATCATGCCCTTCTAGGGTTAAAATTCTTTTATTTCTCAGGTTGGCCCATTCTTTAATCCTTGTTAGGACTGCTGCTTTATAATATAGTTCCCAGGCGGGGAGTCCAAATCCACCTCTGCATCTATTATCTTGTAATGAGCTTAGTTTTATTATTGCTTTTTTCCCTAACTAAATAAATTTCATAGTAATTTTATTTAATTCATTAAAAAAATTTGTCTAATTTAATAGGAATAGTTTGAAAGAGAAAAAGTATTCCTGGCAAGAAGTTCATTTTAATGGTTGCAATTCTCCCTAGCATAAGTCAATGTCTATTCTTGGCGGCCCCATAGATTTGCTCCATGATGATCTGTTCCTAAGCTGGTCATAGACATTCATGATCAGAAAACCAGGAAAGGGTTTTAAACATCTCAAAGAAAAGTGGTGCCTTGAAAGAGCTCTTTGCTTGCATTGCGAAGTACTCAATTGAACAGTTTGTCCAGCATTACTGTTTATACATGGGGAAAAGCACACATAAATTTGATTCTAACTCTTTTTAGAGCATGAACATATATTTTAGGTAATTTAGCAGAAGCAATAGCAATTACAACATCAATCTTATTCACAATCTTAGTCTTATTTATGCTGTGTTTTGTGTTTATTTTGAAACTTAACATCCACTGTCAATGAAAATGTTCAATGAAGGATAAAGGGCAGAAAATTCTTCATCAGAAATTCTAATGACATTCATGAAAATTAAATACCCTACAGGAAATACTTTGTTTTTGAGACATGTACTACTACTGGGAACTTTATAGTCTTACTCATAAAGAAACTTAAATTGCTTACAATGAGAAAAACTTCAATGTCAGAGAGGAGACAGCCAGGATTAACCAGGCTGCTCTCTTTTTATCACACTTTAACTGCCTACAATTTTGTAGACGTTAGGATGCAAACATCCAGAGCATCAGGCTGTACCTGTCACAAAGTGACAAGTTAAAGAGGGCAGATGCTAAGTTTGTGTTTAACTTTTCCCCCCAGTTATTAACTCAATCAGCTTGCCAAAAGTATTTCTCAAATATTTTTGCAAAAGGGAGCACTTCCAAGAAACTGTTTTGTCTCCTGCACTATGTAATAAAAAGAGGATTTTCTTTCTGAACTACTAATGTACCTTGTAAAAGATTATTAGAATACACACGCACACCTGCTAAAGTTTTGAAACTAAAGAACTTAAATAAAGAGATCAGTTTTAGAGGGTAGAATCTGATTGCAATTGAGGAGAAAACAGTGTTGAATTGGGTTGCTAGGTGTCTTTCTGATAAAATATATTTTATATATAATAATAAAGAAGCTGATTTACAGAAATATTTTTTTCTTAGTGACATTTCATGAAAGTAAACATTCATTTCTTTGCACGTATACAGAACAGACAAAACAGTGAAAACTGTTGTGTACTTGTAAATTGTACACGACTTGGTGTTTAAACTATGCATAAAATAGTGTAATACTAGATTCCCATTATTAGAAAATGTTGCACTATTTCAGACAATGTTTATTTCCTACTCTTTCCTTAGGATAGTGACCAAGTGGTATTGATCCTGTAAATTGGGGTTACTTTTGCACCAAACTTGTTTGTTTGCTGAAAGTGGATGGATTTGTTCTATGACTTGATGTTGCTTCAAACAAGAATTAGTCAGGCAGGTAAGGCATTACATTAGCAGTGATAAAAATGATAGCACCACGGAAATTATGTTTTTGTGATAAACAACAAAAACTGTTCTTTTAAGCCTGGGAAAAGACCAGAAAAATTTGGCCAGTGTTTTTGTGTTCATGGTATTCACTATGATACATATTATCAGCCCTTATAGGTAGGCCTGGGCAAGGACTATTGGAACTCTATTCTTAAAAGTTAGAATAATGTACCTGTACTTTGCACTTGTTAACAACAGGCAAAATTATTGATTTATATCAATCCTGATACCTATTTCTCCCATGCAGTGGAATGTGTTATAGTAAAGAGATCACTGTAATTAAAACACACATGTAAAATTATTGGTGGGTATTTTTCTTATAAAATTGTTTACCAATTTATTTCAATTTTTATGATTTTATAAACTCATAAGACTTAGGAGAGAGGGAGGGAGGGAGGGAGAGATTAAATCGGACCAACATATATGTTTCATGCTTACTAATACTAGACTCCTGGCACAATGTTACACAGAGAATGAAATAAATTTTATTCACAATCTAGACGCTTGCAAGGAGAGTTCTTAAAATAAAATAAAAATCTCCAGAAGAAAGGACAATACGATTTTATTTATTTTCCTTCTCCCACAGAAAAAGAGAAAGTAGTAGAAAGGGGCTTCAGAGAAAGCAACAAAAAATTATTTATACTTTCACTGAAAATCTTTGTAGGTTCAAAGTGTAATGTTCCCAGAAGCAACACTCTGGACCTATATCAGGTGTTAATGGTGAGTACCACATTGAATGGTAAAAGAAATATAGAAATATAGTTCCATGTTATATTACTTTAAAAAGTAAGCTATTTTTTTTCATACATTTAATATTAAATTTTAATGTTTGTGCCATACAACATATTTTCTTAATTTAAAACAATAAAGATACAGCCTACAGAATGAAACCTAATAATTCTTGTGTTTTAAGAGCCTAGTATATTTTGGAATGCAAGGCCACTGTAGATTACATGGGCAGATTAATGTTATTAACTATTAAATTCCCTTTGTCTGATGTTATCTCTACATTTCATCGCTGCTGCTCTTTAATATGTCTTTGTTCTTCCAGCCATCAGAGTTTACAGGAAAAATCTGGAGTGCATCTGAAAAGGAACACTTCAACTGAAGTTTTCCTGATGATCCATCATAAAGGTAAATTGTTTCCCTCTCTCCAAACTCCCACTTTAAAAAGGTTAGTTAAATGACAGCACACTGCAGTTACCACAGCCTCTAAAAACATCTGGAGAGAATACAGATTGCATTCTATATTAGTAGAACTAATATAGAATGCAATTCATGCACACATACATGCACAAACCACTAAACCCAAGAGTCAATGTGCAACCTCTGGTAGTTGCTGCTTAATTTAAAATCAATTTGTAATATGGTTTGCCCAGTCCATAATTGTGAATCAGTGGGCCAACCGAATATGAATTACTGAAACTTGGCTGGGAATTGGGTGGGACTCAGAGAGAGATATGCCCAACTTTTTTTTTAACATAACACCAGCTGTGATTGTGGGGTAGTAATGGTACATTACAGATAGTCTGATATGAAACTCTTTTTATGAAGTGGGCCTGAAGGAACAGATGACATTGCTGCTTACACACTGAGCTGTGATGGCGCAAAACTGTTAGAATGTAGAACTGTTTGTTCTTCCTTTTCCATCCTTTCTATGATTATATTACACAATTTCTTTGTTTTTAGTGTAACCCTTGTCCCGCGATGAATTGTCCTGAGGCGAGTTGGCCATGGCTAGTTGTCCTGAGGCAAGTTGTCATAAACCACTTCCTGCATAGGTATTTTCCTCTCTAAGAAGCTTGTCATTATAAATGCATTGGCACTAAAATTCCCAGACTTGTTTCTGGGGATCTTCAATATATCCATTATAGACTTGATCTATTGATGCCCTGACCTCTGCAAAAGCCACACAGTAAATCTGGTTTTGGTATCAGGGCAGTAATAACATACTCTGACATTGGGGGGTGGGATTTATGTTAATCCCTTATTCCAAACAAATCATGGTCCCTGCTACGAAGGGAGGAAGGACCTACTTAATTGATCCATTCTGGTTCTTGATATGATCTTATTCTATTATCTGGGAGGAATCTGAGTTGATTTGTCCTCGTAAAGGTGATAAGGTTCTTAGGCCTTTAAGTACAGTACATTAGATCCCCCTCCTACCTGGCTAGCTAAAGCCTCCTGGAAGATGACATATAGCTGGATCCTGCTAATTCAGCCATTGCTGAATCTTACTGAACTGAAGAGTTTTCATTTGATTTCCAAACTTTCCTTTTAGGGAAAGTTGTTAAGTAGGGTAGTGGACTTGCAGTTTCTAGATTATCTAGATTCTTTTCAATCAAGTTCAAGGCCAGGCTATAGTACCAAATGGCACTGATGATGCATGTGTATGAACTCTGGCAATCTCAGGATGGAAACTCTGCATGTATCCTTGACTTCTCAGCAGTTTTCAGTATCATTCATTACTGTACCCTTCTGGACTGCCTTA